AGTTATCATTCATGCTCTTCTTCCTGACTGGAATGTTCTCCTTCCTTTACATCCTAATTACGAACTCCTTCCACTCAACTCCTGCTCAGTCTGTCAGTTCTCAGCTTGTATGTTCTCATTATCTTCTTATAAGTTCTCATAAACCTGGATTTTACCTGTATAGTACTTGTTCCAGGTCTCACCTGCCCTAGCCTTTTATCCCCTCTCCAAGCATAAGGTCCCTTAGGGTAGGTACTATGTCTATCCTATTCATCATTGGATTTCCAGCACCTTGCATGGTACCTGAACATAGTAGTTGCACCAGAAGAATGCACTTGAATGAATAAATATATCTGATTTTAAAAGTTCATATTATTCCTTTTGGATTGTGAATAACAAACATCCACTTGCACTATCGAGGAGAAGGTTAATTATAATGATACAGGGGCACGTCACAGAGACAAGGAGTCCTCAGGAATGGAGCAGAACCAGAAATTCAGATGTCCCTGGGAGTCTCCTCATCTTTTGTTCTCTCTCATCAGACCAGTTCTCCTGCTTGTTCTACACAGTGAGGAAAGTATAGCTGTCAAGAAGAACTCAGAGTTATATGTTATTGGACCAATCAGCTGGAGAGAAGTTAAAATAGCTCTTCCTCTCTAATCTCTATCTCTTCAAAATTCCAAGCAGAAAAATTATCATTGGGAAGCCTGGGAGGCTCAGTCAGTTAAGCATCTGCCTTCAGCTCAGGTTATGATCCCACAGTCCTGGGATAGAGTCCCACACTGGGCTCCCTAGGGGCTCAGTGGGGAGCCTGCTTTTCCCTCTGCCTGCTGCTCCCCCTGCTTGTGCTCTCTCTCACACACACAAATCAATAAATAAAATCTTAGAAAAAGAAAAATTATTGTTCCAGTATGGGTCAGGTGCCTGACCTGGACCAATCAAGTGACTAGGGACCAAGATCATATTGTAGAAACATAGCAGTTCCCACTAGAACCTTGAAGTTTGGGCATGGGGGAGCTGATTCCTGGAAGAGAGGTTTGGGGCAGACCCACAGTGGATGTCCATTGGGGTGAGCATCGGCTTCCCAACACACACACAGCCCCACCCCCTCAGCCACAACTCCATCATCTCCTTGGATTTATGCCTAGATCTCTGGGGTCTCTAACTGGGTCTTCAGGGCCATTGCCAGAGTTCTCTGGTAGATTCTTGTATTTAGCTTCCAACACTATTCATTCCCCCCAAAACCCCTTCTCCCCCAACAATACCAGCGTTCAGAGATACCACAGGCACTTGAGCTTCACAGGGAGGCCCTTCTCAACAGCCAGGAGAATCTGCCGAGCTTTCCTGGCTGCAGATGTGGAAAGTGGATTTGGGAGAGCTGTTGGGCAAAGTCAGAACTCTGGTGGGAGCAGCTCTCTCCAGGATTTCTTCCAACCAGCACTCTATTTCTTCTCTTACATCTGGCCATCATGTATCTCTGAGAGATGAGCTTCCAAAATCGTCTGACAAATGAGGAAGCTGAGGCTCTATAAAGGAACAGGATATGATGAAGGTGGTGATTTAGCAGATCAATAGCAAAGACAACACTTGGACTTAAGTCTCTCTTCCTTATACTTTTGATGTAGGGACTAGAAGAGCTTGACAACTCTTCTGCAGAGACAGTGCAGTGTTCACTAGATGTAGACTACATTTCCCAGGCCCCCTTGCACCTAAGTATGGACCATATGACTGAGTTCAGCCAATAGAAGGAAAGTAGAAGAAATTCCACATTTGCCCATAAAATGTCCTAGGTTATCTTTCACACCCTCTCTCCTCTATCTGTGAGGCTGGAAACAAAAGGCTCTGAGATGGTAAAGCTTCCTAATGGAGGAAGACCAAATCTTTTGATTTCACTGCTTGGAGGAAAGCTGCTCAGGAATCACCAAGAACTACATAGGACTTTCCTGGAGCAAGAAAGAAATCTTTACTGTGTCTGAAGCTACTGAGATTTTGAAGATATATATTATTATATGTAGCACAGCATTCCCAGACTGGCTCATCTTTGATGGAGCCCCTCAATGATGAGTTAGACTTTTTTTCAAGTATTTTTAAAAAGTTTTTTATTTGTTTACTTGAGAGAGAGAGAGCACATGTATGAGGGTGGGCAGAGGTAGAGGGAAAGAGAGTCTTAAGGAGACTTCATTCAGGGACTGATCTCATTATCCTGAGATTAGGGGCTGAGCTGAAACCAAGGGCCAGATGCTCAACTGACTGCACTACCCAGGTGCCCCAGTGATGAGTTAGACTTGATCTCCTCCAGCACTGTCTCTGCCCTTTGACACTGACAAAGACCCAAACTACAAAAGGGCAGTACAGCTTTGTGATCAGGAACACAGGCCTTAAATCCAGTCATATCTGAGTCTGAACCCCAGATCCCACCCCCCCCCAGATGGACCCAAGCAGGTGTCTTTGTCTCTTTGAGCCTGTTTCCACATGTGTAAAATAGAGATGGTACCCAGTCAAAATGCCATTGTAGGGTAAAATATTACATAATCAGTGCTTCTCAACAGAATGATATCCTAGAAATTGTAAGGTAATGTTTGGTTGTGGAGCCCTTCTAACTAGAGATGCTGGGGCCTATGATGTTTGGGACACTCCTACATGGTGACAAGCTGTCGCTCCTGACCCACGGCTTTCATATGGTCCACGGGACATTCATCTATCTGACGCTGGGGTTTGTGAGCCTAGACACTAAACTTTGTTTTACAAAGAATCACAACATATTTTTGCATGGCTTTAGTATCTATTGAATGTTCCAGGAATGTATTTGCCCTGGGTAACTGTCAGGGCCCTGACAGGAAATCAGCACACTCAAGTTAGGATAATTCAGGGAGGGGTTGATTTGCAAAATGACTAATTACAAAGGTGTGGACAGGTGTGAGGAAGCCAGACAGGACAGGGCAGAGACCCAGGTCCAGCCGCAGTACAGCTGTCACCACCACTATAACCAAGGTGTGAGCGGAGGCAAGATTACCAGAACCTGAGAGGGGAGAAGTACTGCTGAGAGTATTAGATCCCCTGGCTGCCACAGTGAATTACCGCAATTTTGGTGGCTTAAAACAAATCTGTTCTCAAATCTATTCTCATAATTCTCAAGGCCAAAAGTCTGAAATCAAGGCAGCAGCAGGGTCACAGTGTCTCCATTGACCCTAGGGGAAAATCCTTCCTGGCCTCTGCCAGCTTCGGGCGGCTCCCAGCCTTCCTTGGGTGGCTGCATCACTCCAGTCTCTGCTTCTGTATTTTTTAAAAATATTTTATTTATTTATTTGACAGAGAGAGACACAGCGAGAGAGGGAACACAAGCAGGGGAGTGGGAGAGGGAGAAGCACATTCCTCGCTATGACCTGAGCCGAAGGCAACCACTTAACGACTGAGCCACCCAGGTGCTCCTGAATATTTTTTTTAATATTTTATGTATTTATTAGACAGAGAAAGAGCACAAGCAGGGGGAGTGGCAGAGGGAGAAGGAGAAGCAGGCTACCCGCTGAGCAGGGTCCAGGGACCACTGCCCCCAACACCCTGCCCTAAGCGGGACTCCATCCCAGGACCCCAGGATTATGATCTGAGCCAAAGGCAGAAGCTTCACCAACTGAGCCACCCAGGCACCTCTCTTCTGTTGTCTTCACGTGGCCATCTCCTCTTCTCTGTGTCTTCTCTTCTGTCTCTTATGAAGACACTTATTCTTAAAAAAATAAAAAAATTGGGGCTCCTGGGTGGCTCAGAGGGTTAAGCCTCTGCCTTCGGCTCAGGTCATGATCTCAGGGTCTTGGGATCAAGCCCCGCATCAGGCTCTCTGCTCAGCATGGAGCCTGCTTCCCTTCCTCTCTCTCTGCCTGTCTCTCTGCCTACTTGTGATCTCTGTCAAATAAATAAATAAATTCTTTAAAAAATAAATAAATAAAAATAAAAAATAAATAATTTTTTTTTTAAAAAAAGACATTTATTCTTCACTTATTGAATTTAGGGTCCACCCAGATCATCTAGGGCAATCCTATCTCACAGGGTGGCTTTGAAGATTCACATCTCGAGAGCCTTATTTGTATCTGCAAAGGTCCTCTCTCCAAATAAGCTATATCCACAGGTTCCAGAAGTTAGAATGTGAACATTGTAGAGGCCACTTTTAGGCAACACTCGAGCAATGGAAACCTGAGTAAGGTAAAAAGGTGCACAGTGACTACTGGCCTGAATGCAAACAGGCCCATCAGGTGACCCACCTCAAAATATCCACAAGCCCTAGCTGACCAATGGGCTGCTTACAACTGGGCACAGATACCAAAAAAGGAAAATTCCACATATTCCGTTACCTCCTTACCTTCCCCCTTCAACAATAGCTCCCCGCCATTGCCTTCTGGCAGACGGTCTCTCCTCTGCTGTCCTGCCCGCTGCTCCCTTGCAGTGTATTCAGTAAGCTTCTATCTCCTTTGTTGGGCCTGGGGTGAATTCTTTCACCGCTTGTGCCAGCCTCCACCATCTCAGGTCACTCCACAGCCATAGCTTTGGGGGGCTCTCATTCAACCCACTATAGCTACCTTGAGAACAGTAGTGACCTTAGGATGAGGGATATAGGCAGGAAGGGAGACAGAAATAAAAACCCCAATCTCCCTTCCATCCCTCACCCCGTCTCCTGTCAGGGCTTACATTGGCCAAACCCAGCAGGAAATCAGAGGACATGAGTGTGGTTGACGTGTCAGGCTCCCAAGGCCAAGAGCAGGGAAGAGAAGAGCAGGGGGAAAAATGGATCTGGAGGAGCAAACAAAAGACAGCAGGGTACCATGTCAATTAAGGGAAGGTTGAACTCTGTTTTATTTGGAACTTTAGCAGGAGAGTTCACCATTGCTGAAATCATAATTGAATGGCAACAGTGCTGGTAGTATTGGAACCAGTAATGGAACACACCTGTATCAGTATGTGTTCGTAGTTGTTGGCAGTTCACAGAGAAAGACTGCTTCATTAAACCTGCCAGTCGTGGTCTGTCCAAGAATTTCTGTATTGAACGCCTCACAGATCTGCATGTTGTCCTTGCACAGGGGCTGTGCTAATCTTCTCTGTATCATTCCGATTTTAGTATATGTGCTGCCCAAGCAAGCACGGACTATATATTCTTATATTTTAAAAATACCTTTTATTTCTTCCTTTAAGTTAATTGTGGCTTTTTGTTTGTTTGTTTGTTTCATATTATGAAACCGTGTTGCAGATTGGTTCTGTTATCTAAGAATGCTAAAAATGGCATTGAAGGGGCGCTAAGGTGGCTCAGTCAGTTAAGCGTCTGCCTTAAGTTCAGATTTTGGTCCTGAGGTCTTGGGATCTAGTCCTGCATCAGGCTCCCTGCTCAGCTGGGAGCCTGCTTCTCCCTCTCCCTCTGCCCCTCCTTCTGCTTGTACACTCTCGCTTGCGCTCTCTCTTGCTCTCTCTCTCTCTCTCAAATAAATAAATAAAATCTTAAAATAATAAAATAAAATAAAAACAGCATTGAAAAATATTATCGGTTGCATAAAGTGGAGAGCTACAAGGTGTAGGTAACTCATAGCGCCAACACGCTAGGTTCTTGGTACATAGCACCTGTTGGCATTAAGGCTATTACCAGCTTCATCACCTCGAAGCGTAGTTGGATTGAGGATCCTGGAGACGAGGCCTGCTGTGAGTCACTCGGCAAGGAGAGGGCCTGGAGCCAGTCCCCTGGAGCTGGAATGACGTAAGCCTGGGTCCTGAGAAACCCTTGGTCTGACACCACTGTTCCTCCCCCAGAGTATGATGTCTCCAGAGGAAGAGATTCTTTCTCTTGAGCACTGGAAGCCCTCAATGAGCAGCTAGTGTGTATCCACATCCTGGGCTTTCCCACAAAGCCGGGAGCTGTGAGGCAAGTGGCTAGGCCTGGCTCCAAAGCTCCAGCCAGACTCACCCCACCAAACTGACATCAGTGGGTTGGCAAGGGGACAGCGGGGTGGGGCTGGCCTGGGAGCCAAGCTGTCTCACTCCCAGGGGAAGGGAGGAGATGAGAGAAGAGGGAGGAGGGGAAGGAGGGCGGGGCAGGGCAGGAAGGGGTGAGTCCAGGGAAATCTGACTCAGGCCTGTCTGGACAGCTGGAGGGAGGGGAAATGGAGTACATGTTACCTCCTCACTTGAAACCTGGCATTCAAGACCCTGGCTTACATCTCCATCCTCCTCTCATGCCATTCCCTGCCATGCAGACTACTTCAAAAGCCAGGCTAATTCATACATTGGTTATACAGTTCGCTGCCTGAGAGTTCTCTGCCCTTAATTGCCTTTCTCTGACTCATCTAGCTCAAGGCTTCCTTGAAAATATCACTTTCTCCATGAAGTATTCCCCAGTCCAGACACAATTACTCTTTTTTTTTTTTTTAAAGATTCTACCTCTCTATTTGACAGAGAGAGACACAGCGAGAGAGGGAGAGGGAGAAGGGAGAAGCAGGCTTCCCACCAAACAGGGAGCACGATGCGGGGCTCCATCCCAGGACCCTGAGATCATGACCTGAGCTGAAGGCAGACCATTAACGACTGAGCCACCCAGGCACCCCAGACACAATTACTCTTGTTTCTGCACTGAAATCTATAGATGTCAAAGGTAGACTAGAATTGCCATTTATTGATTTAGGACAGTGTTCCCAAACTTCAGCATGCATCAGGATCACCCATGAGGCTTTTAAAATGTGAATTGTTGATTTCTAAGTTTCTGATTCTAATTCTGGTGGGTGGGGTGGGAGAAGGTAACTGAGAGGACATGACTGCTTGTCGACGCTCAAGCAGGACCTGGGCAATGGGAGGTTCCTCATTCCCTCGCCTGTCCTTGGAATGTACATTCTGCCTACTGATCCCCCAGTGGGAGCCATTCCAAGGATGTAGCTTTGAGAGAAGAAGGTGTTGTTGAGACCACCTGGACTGAAGACACGGTGAACCCAGTTAAGGCTTCTATATAAACGTTGAAGATTAGGTGGGTGGGTGCAGAGATAACACTTCTCTTGTGGCCACAAAAGCCAAGTCTTTTAAGTAAGTTCCCAAACCTGCCACCTACCAGTCTGGAGTGGCCTGCCTCTTTCTTTGGTCTCTTTCTCTGCCTTCTGTGTACAAGGCCAGTTTGTGAACCAACAGGTGGGGTTAGGAATTTTCATTTCTAGTTAAATGATACTGCTGGTCCCAAGATCACACTTTGAGAACCACTGGTTGAGTGCAAGAAATGATCATTCCTGGGTAAGATCAGTGCTTATTTATTAATTCATTCGGTGAACGTTTCCTACAGGCCTGCAGTATGCTGCACATAGTCCATGTGTTGAGTATTCAGGAATAAGCAAAGCAGGCATAGAACTTACCCCCAGGAGCTTCCAGTCAATGGGGGAAGATAGATATGAAGCAAATAAACATACTATTAAGTATATAATAACACATTGTGATAAATGCTCTAAAGGAAAATAAAAAGAATATTATGAAAAAGAATAATGACTAGAACCTATTTCGGACTAGGTGATCAGGTAAGGCCTTTCAGGTAAAAGAGACATTTATCTAGGCATACTTTAAACACATATTGTATTGTATTATTATCTGTGGGGTTTTTTTTAAAGATTTTATTTATTTGACAGAGAGAGAGAAAGAGATCACAAGTAGGCAGAGAGGCAGGCAGAGAGAGAGAAAGGCAGGCAGAGAGAGAGAAGGAAGCAGGATCACCGCCGAGCAGAGAGCACAACATGGGGCTCGATCCCAGGACCCTGAGATCATGACCTGAGCCAAAGGCAGAGGCCCAACCCACTGAGCCACCCAGGCTCCCCTTGTTATCTGTTTTTAAGTTGTTCAGCTAACCACTAGACTATGTGCACCCTGAAAGCGAGAATCTTGTGTTATTAATATTTGTGCTGCAGAGTAGAGCCTTCACAGATAGTGTAAAATAGATGTGAAGATGGAAAGACCATTGGAAAAGGAATAAATGACTGAATGAACTGTCAGATTTATGTATATATGTATGTATGCATGGATGAATGACTGTCTCTGGCAGGAACATGGAGAACCAGGATTCCTGGTGGTACCAGTGAGACAGGAGTGAAGACTAACAGAAACTTAGTTGACTCCTTTGCTCTATTTCCAAACCTTGTCTATCATTTAAGGTGACCACCAATGGCCCGTCTTCCCCAAAGCTCCCTTGATTACCATTGCTGAGCCCCACTCCCCACGTGAATGATTTACTGTCACCTCTTGCATTCCCACACACACATCCCACACTTACTTCAAAACACACAACTGCCTCATACCTGCCATCTGCTCACCACCTGCAAGTTTCTCAGGGCAAGCCATGTTCTCTGTGTCAGTTTTAGAAGGCAAAGGGAATGGGAGAGGGAAGAAAAGAAAGTTTTTCTCTAACCCCCAGAGCCAAAGAAGGCACAGAACTCAGAGGGGGTGAGGAGATTCCTGCTCTGGTAATTTACCACATGACTTCAAAATAGCACTTTCAATGACACATTTCCTCTAAATATGTGTCTTAGGCTCCTACAAGAAGTATGTTTTATTTAAAGACTCAATTTGAGTCAACTAAGGAGAAGAAAAACACCCAGGATCCCTCTGTGGAATTTAAAAATGGAGAGTGAAGAGAAAGCTATATACAGACCAGTTCCTTCCCTCTGAGGACTCTCTACCCAGGGATGAAACTCGACCTGCTTTGCAGGGTTCAGACTTCCATATACTTGCATCCATTCTCATCAAAGCTCATGGCCACCCAAGCCCAGCTCTCCTACAGCAAAGACACTTGAATTCAGAAAGGAATTTGCAAAAGAGTTAGAGGTGGGAGAAGAGCTCCCTTCCATCTAAAAGAGGACAGAATGAAGAATCTGGGACATGAAACTCCCCAGAGATTGAAATAAAATTCGTCTCAATTGTGAAGGATCTGAACAGATGACTCTCAGGAGAAGGCAAGAGGATTGACCATCTCTTGTGAGCATGAATATCTAACAGTATTAACTAAAAAAACGTAAAGAAAGCAAGATTTCATATGCATATGGGCATGTGCATTCGCGCACACACACACATTAGAATGCAATACTCTGTGTGAATCAGGAGGTCCTGAAATTGTCTCAAGTGGAACTCTTATTGGTACATTTCTGAAATCATTGGGCAATAGGTCTTCAAACCTAATAAAACGTTCATGCTTCCCCTCCACACACACACACCCCAAAGGAAGCTGTGATTTGACACCAATTTATTTCCAATTCTGATCATCAATCCTAAAGGAATCATTTGAAATACAGAAACAAACAAAAGAACAGCAAAAAGAACACTGATCACAAAGATATTCATCTTTATGTTATATGTAATAGTGAAAGACTGAAAAATACCTGTAAGTCCAGCAACTACAGAATGGTTGTTGGTCAGACATTTATAGAATACTATTTATACATGCCCAATTATGTGTTCTGCAGAGTTCTTCCTTGGGGGATGTGCTGGCAGCAATAATTGTCTGGGGTGCGGGCTACAGGTCCTTTAGGAGAGCACCTGATTGGGTCCCCCGAGTCCAAAACCTGGTTTTCAGCTTCTCGGGATCAGAACCTGACTTTTCTTAGTGCACCAGCTAAGAGCAGAGTCTTGGTAACAGATTTTCACTAATACCACCCAAGGCTTATATAACCATCAAAGGCCAATCTATTAGATCACAGTGGATGACATCCCTTTCCAAACAGCAAAATACATGTATCCACTGCCCAAGATCTGTCCCTTAGCTGATATTGGGGTAGATTGTAAGAAAAATCAGAGGATTTCTTGGCACATGTCTGAATAAAAGGAAATGGGAATTCTTGAGGACTATTTTTCAAGTCATGGTGAGTTTCTCTTCCTGGGAGAGCAGGGGCTGCTCGGTGAGCGGTCTGCTTTCTTGCACCTGCCTTTCCACCTTGCTGCTTCTCTTTTTTTTTTTTTTTTTTAAAGATTTTTTTTTTTATTTATTTATTTTGACAGACAGAGATCACAAGCAGGCAGAGAGGCAGGCAGAGAGAGAGAGGTGGAAGCAGGCTCCCTGCTAAGCAGAGAGCCCGATGTGGGGCTCAATCCCAAGACCCTGGGACCATAACCTGAGCCGAAGGCAGAGGCTTTAACCCA